CTCAACAAGATACTAGCAAATCATATTCAACAACTTATAAAAAAGATTATACATCATAATCAGGGAGCTAGGAAAAGAAGAGGTGAAACTCTCTATCCATTGAAGCAAGCCAGGCTATGAAGGAAAGAACTTGTATGTCCCCTCTTAGTATATACCGAGTGTCTACACTCTATGACTGAAACTGATTGACCAAAGGATATACAAACAAAATAAATGAGTGTAAATACCAGATATAAAGTGTGTGGAAGAGTAGGGCCTGAGGAAAGACATTTAGAAGAAAAATACGGAGTCAAAGCATTAATGGGACAGAGAAATGTGGTATTATCTGTTAAAGATTTTTCTTTTTGAGAGGTTTTTGCTATAGGGCACATGCGCTTGCCAGACAGACAGATAGAGACAGAGACAGAAAGCAAGAAATCACTCCCCAGGGGGGAATGGCCACGCAAAAAAAAAGAAGTTTAAATGAAGTGATCTTGCTGTTGATACTCAGCTTAATTTTGTTAAAGTCAAAGACCATCTGTTTTGAAATTTTTTTGACATTCATATATGGGGTAAACTAATTTAATTAATTTTTATAAAAAGTTCAGCTTGAAAATATGTGCATTTTTGAATTCTGGGATATTATTTTCTATGTAATTACATTAAAGCAAGTTTGCTTATTGTATTTCTTTTTTCTTTCTTTCTTTTCTTTCTTTTTTTTTTTTAATTTTTAAAGATCTGGCCTTATTGTGTCACCGTCCTCTTGCCTCAGCCTCCCAGCTGAGATCACTACAGGCATACACCACCATACTGGTACTTTTTTAAAGACAGGAGCTTGCTTTGCTACTCGGGTCAGCCTTGAGCTCATAATCCTCCTGCCTCAGGGTCCCTGAAACCTTGTGACAGCAGTCACATAAAGACATCTGGTCTTTAGATTGGACAACGAATCAAACCTAGGGCTCCTATGTTGTCCCAGCCCATGTAGCTCAGTGTTCTCAGCAACGTGCACCTCTTCAAATGGGCATACTTACTGTGTTTTTTAAACAACACATGTCTTTACTAAATTTTAAATTATTTGCCAGTTACTAGGATAAATTTGTTTAAATCTTTACTTATGTTGTATGTTTGGCTACTGTTTTAAAAATTCAGTTAATTTTTCTTTACACGTTCTGAGGATGTTACCAAATACTCAAAAGTGCAATTAGAACAAGCTCCTGGTGTATTGAAATTTTGTGCCTATAAAATTTCTTTTTTTTTTTTTTTAGAGGTTTTTGCTATAGGATGCGTACACTCGCCAGACAGACAGAGAGAGACAAGGAGACAGAAAGTGAGAAATCTCCCCCCAGGGGGAATGGCCTTGTCGCAATCCCTTCTCATCCATTCTCCTCTCGGGATCTTGGGCACACACGCACACGCGCCTGGTGTGAGTTTTAAGCCACCGGGTCCGGGACGCGAACTGTTTCGACTATGTGGGAGTCCAGCGACATAGCCATTACGTTAACTGCTGGTCCCTAAAATTTCTATTTTTATGCTTAGTAATGTTTAGTGTCTTAAATACTACTTTTTCTTGCATGAAAGCAGGCACATTACTTTTCTTCTGGTTTATATTCGCATAGCATTTTGTCTATCTTTTGCATAAATCTTTATGTTTCCTGTTTTTAATTGTCTCTTTTCATACCTTGCCATTAGCTTATATTGTTTGTACTTTTTCCAACTTTGTCTTTTAATTTAAGCTTATAGTTCATATAAATGTAATATAATCACTGTAAATTTTGACTTAAATTTACAGTGCTTTCAAGTTCTTTTTTTTTTTTTTTTTTTTTTTTTTAAAAAAACCATGTATTACATTACTAATGAATCAACGATATTACCATAAGCATGGTTTTCATTGGAGATCTTTACATTCGCATATCTTTCAAGTACTTCTTCCCTAAGTCCCTCTTTTTTTTTTTTGAGAGATTTTCACTGTAGATCGCGTGTGCTCGCCATACAGACAGAGAGAGACAGAGAGACAGAAAGCTAGAAATCACCCCCCAGGGGGGATGGTCACGCCGCAATCCCTTCTCCTCCATTCTCCTCTCAGGATCTTGGGCACGCACGCACATGCTCCCGGCGTGAGTTTAAGCCGCCGGGTCCGGGACGCGAACCGCGGTCGACTACGTGGGAGTCCAGCGACACAGCCATTACGCTAACTGCTGGTTCCCCCCTAAGTCCCTCTTTTTATGCCACTTTATGTTCCCTAATCCTTTTTGGCTTTCTCTTGGATCGATTAAATATTGCATCTCTTATTCACACTTTATCCTCTAATAGCATGGAAGTTAACTACACTCTTTTTATTCTTTCGATGATTATCATATACATAATAACTTAATTCTTAGCATATTAGATTCTTATAGTAATTAACAATTTATCCTCTTCCCTGTTGTTGCAAGGATCTATTATACTTGAACTTAATTTTTTTCCATTCTATTCTGCACTCTGTTTCTATTTCTTTTGTATAGTTTACTTACACACACACATGCACACACACACACACACACACACACACACACACGGGCTTCAAAAAGTTTGTGAATAAATGGAACTAAAGTGCAAGTTTAGTTTGGTGTAAAATTTGTTTTGAAATCCATACATACTTTTTTCCTAATATGAATTTTTCATTAACTTTTTGAAGGCCTCCCTCAGTTTAAAATTTGTATCTTATAACTACAGTATCTGTGTCTCCTATATGTATCTTTTTGCCTATCCTTTTTCATTTGCATTCATCTTGGCCTATGATTGTGTTCATTTTCTCCATAAAGTTTTTTTTTGCTGACAATTTCAGGATACAATAGGTCTGTTAAGTCCATTGCTTAAGAGAAGGCTGAGGAACAGAAAGGTCAAGTAACTTTCATAACGTCACACAGTAAGTGGCAGAGCCAGAGTTTGAGCAATGGCAGTCTGACCTTTACGCAATACAATGTACTTTCTCCTGTGTTATGTTATAACAAACTTCCTATCTACTAAACTGGAGAACTGTTGTACAAAATGGCCCTTTGGGTACTTTTAATGTGTCTATCTAAGCTAGTAATATATTTGTGATTCTGCTCACAGACAGTATAGGATGAGATATTTGGTAACTTTTATATATAAAATACAAGTTGAAACTTTTTAATATTTTATTTATTATATTGTTTTTTAATTTACTAGAAGGCATGTAAGCTCACCAGAGAAATACAGAGAGACAGAGAGAGAGAGAGAGAGAGAGAGAGAGAGAGAAAGCAAGCTGCCAGGTCTGGGACATGAATTACAGCTGACCATGTGGGAGTCCAGTGTCTTACCAACCACACCATCCACTGGCCCCCAGGTTGGAACTTTTATTCTGTGGAAAAATTAACATGCATCATAACCTGTCACAATAGCACTAGCAAGTAAAGACCACCGTGTCTTATTTAAAAAACAGAGGAATATATGGTATCTCTGGGCTTTATCTTTAAAAGGAGAATTCCTGCTCACTAGGCCAATTTGTTCTAAGCATTAAAATACAAATATTGAAAAAAATGCATGTAAATTTATTCTAACCTATGCATGTGTGTTTGAATATAGTTTGAACACTATTGTAGACATTATAATATACAATTTATAACATACAAAATTGAACTCAGTGCGTTTAGATAACTTGCCATACTCATACAACTAGTAGTTGATAGGTCCTAGATTGAATACCTGTTCTCTTTCTCTAATTCCAAATTTAAATCTAAATTTACAATGCAATCCTTCAGATATGAAAATTGCAACATTAATGGTATATTTTGGAGTGAGATATTGGAAATTTTGCAATATTTAAAAAAACCCAATTTTGGGGACCAGCAGTTAGTGTAATGGCTATGTCGCTGAACTCCCATGTAGTCGACCGCGGTTCAAGTCCTGGACCTGGTGGCTTAAACTCACGCCGGGCATGCGTGCATGCATGACCAAGATCCCAAGAGGAGAACGGAGGAGAAGGGATTGCGGCGTGGCCATCCCCCCTGGGGGGTGATGCCTCGCTTTCTGTCTCTCTGTCTCTCTGTCTTTCTGGCGAGCGCACGTGCCCTGTAGCAAAAAATCTCTCAAAAAGAAAAAACAAACAAACAAACAAACAAAACTCCAATTTTGGCTAATAAATGGTAGCTGAGTGAAGTGTATTTTGGAATTTTTACTTTGTTGGTTTTAATAGAATCTTATTTAATCTTTGTTCCCCCACCCCTTATAATGTAACATTTTTAAACTCTTGAAAATGTAAAGTCTTTTTCTTTCAGGGATGTATATAAACTACAGTTCCATTCATCAACCATATCACCCCAAAAAATTGTCAGACAGAATGAATTTTCCAAATATAATAAGACCATTTATGATGTGCTGCTTCACTTGAGTGGAAAATTGCCACCTGGAGTTACTTCAAGTCAATCTTTACCTGTGGATAAAACAGAAAGGGTTATTCAACTTCATTTGCAACATTCCTCACTTCTTGATTTTCTCAGGTAAGAGCATGGATGTGCTAATCTAAGCATGTAATTGTGGCTTGGGTAGACAGATGCATTGATGGGTAGATAGATGGATGGATAGAGTTTGATATTTATTTGACATTTTTTCTTTATTTTTCTAATTTTCTGTAGGACGCAGTGCTCAGAGAGAGAGAGAGAGAGAGAGAGTGAAAAAGCAGCCCCAGGGAGAATGGGCATGCTGCAATCCCCTTTTACCCACTCTTCTCTTGGGATTTTGAGCATACAATGCATGTGCACCTGGTGTGTTTCTCAAGCCACCACGTCTGGGGCTCAAATCACATTGCCAGCCATGTGGGATCCAGCTGCCTTTCCCATCATGCCACCAGCTGGTCTTTATTTGAGTTTATTTATTTATTTTTTTTATCAAACATTATTGCTTCCTTTTGCTCTGTCTCTATCTCTTTCATACCTTCAAAAAGTATATACTGTTTGATAGAAAAGAAGCATGAAGTGATCTATTGGATTTGTAATCTAAAGCAACCATTCTCAAATTTTACCATGCATCCAAATCATTGGTAAGTCTTGTTCAAACAGTTTCCTGGACCTTATGCACAGAGTTCATGATGCTAATTTGCAGTATAACAAGTTTGGTAAGTCTTGTTCAAACAGTTTCCTGGACTTTATGCACAGAGTTTATGATGCTAATTTCCAGTATAACAAGTTTAATTATGTATGGATTCTTCTGGTGCATGACCTCATTTTGAAAATTGTAATCCACAGCAAATATAAACCCATTAAACAAAAAAAAGGATGATATCAATAAGCTTTATTTCTGAGGTTATTGTGTTTTATTTTTAGAGGATTTTTCCTTTGACCATGTGTGCTTACAGGGTGATGGGGGTGGGGCAAGGGGTATGGCAGGAGAGAGAGACAGAAATATTGAGAAGGAAAGTGAGAAATCGTCCAGCAGGGAGGGTGGCCGCATTGCTATCCCTTCTCCTCCATTCTCCTTCTGGGATCTTGGGCACACATGCACACGTGCCTGGCCTGAGTTTCAAGCCACCTACTTTGGGACTTGAACCATGGTTGTCCATGCGGTAATTCAGTGATGTAACCGCTACACCATCTGCTGGCCCAACATTATTATTACTATAATCTCAAATTCTTTTGTATTTTCAAGTTCTTTTGTTTTTGTGACTTTGCAGTTATTTCACCTTAAAACAGTTTCAATATCTGTAAAATTGAGGATGTTAATTCACAAGTTTACTTCATTGATAAAAGAATTAAAAATAATGAAATGTGCATGACATGTCATATAGCAATTATGATCTTTGCTGATTTGAATATCATGAATTATGATCTAAAGCTTTCATAAACTAAGATGTTTCTTTAAGTTATTTTAATATGTAACCGTTAGTAATGTACTGAAAACTGACTCCTGTGGTATCAGCATAACTAAAATAGAATATTAAGGGGCAGTAGGTGGTATGGTAGATGAGATACTGGATTCCCAGATGTTCGAGTCCCAGGCCTGTTGTCTTATTTTCTCACTTTCTCTCTCTCACTCTCTCTCTGTTTCTCTCTGGTGAGTGTATGAGCCTTGTAGCAAATAATAATAATAGTAATAATAAAAACAACAACATATAAAATTAAATAAAGACTTCTTAAAAAAAAAGAAAAATTTTTGAGAGATTTTTTGCCTTAGGATATATATGAGTGCTAGAGAGAGGCAGAGACAGTGAGAAATCACCCCCTCAAGGGGAATGACTATTCCTCAGTCCCTTCTTCTCCATTCTCTTCCCAAGGCCTTGGACACACATACACACATGTTCAGTGTGATTTTCAAACTACTGGGTCTGGGACTCGAACCACGTTCGGCCATTTGGGAGTCCAGCCACGTAACTGCTACACTATCTGCTGGCCTCAAGAATATTTATTTTAAAAATCCTTTCTTTTATTAGAAATGAACATCTTGTTTACATAAAAAAATGTCAGAAAGCCACTATTTGTGAGCTACAACCTCATATTTATTAGACAGAATGGAGCCTTTTATAAGTTTTAAGAAAGAAAGCAGAAGGTGTGTCCTGGCATATTCAGGGAAGCTATAATCTAAACTCCATCTTCCAGACCCCTGAAATACTCAGACAAGAAACCATTTTAAATCTGAGATGTATCCTGGTGTGTTCAGGGAAGCCATGCTCTAAATTCCATCTTTCAGACTCCTGAAATACTCAGACAAGGTAGCGTGACCTCTGTCCTCTCTCTGTGTCTCTCTGTCTGTCTGTCTGTCTGTCTGTTTTGCACTCTCTTTCTCTTTATATTTTTTTTAATTTTTAAACCACTTCTTCTCATCTTGAGCCTTTTCTTCCTCTTGCTAATTTAAGAAACTATTTTAAATCTGAGGTTTGTCCTGGCGTGTTTGTGCTGGTTTTCATTGTTTACCATAAAATTTTTTTTTTGTTCTCTTTTTTGGTCAATTTTGCCTAGTTTTCTTTTTTTTCTCTTCCTTTTGATTTTATTATTTTAAACCTTACTTTTCCACTCTGGTCTTCACTATCCTATCCACTGAGCATCTAGATAGGCCAAGGTGCACAGTAGCTAAGTATCTGAATACTTTTAGAGTCATTGAAATCCTCAATGCTTATTGAACTTTAAGGAACTTTAATGCTTTAAGGAAGAAACTTCTTTTTATAAATCTGGACTCATAATCTCTTTCTGTGGATATCACGTTGCAAAACACAGTAGAGGAGAGATTTATTCACAGAATGACCAGAAACCCACCACAGAGGCACAAGAAATATGAGAAACCAAGAAAACATTTCTCTCCTAAGGGAAAAGAACAATCCATCATCCGCAAACACACGTTGCAAAACACAGTAGAGGAGAGATTTATTCACAGAATGACCAGAAACCCACCACAGAGGCACAAGAAATATGAGAAACCAAGAAAACATTTCTCTCCTAAGGGAAAAGAACAATCCATCATCCGCAAACAGTACAGTAGAACTTGTGAAAATGTCTGATAGAGAATTCAGAATAGTCACAGTGACAAAACTAAATGAGATGCAAGAGCTGAGAGACAATGAACTCCAAAAGATGCAGGAGAAAAGAGGAGTTCCAGGAGGTGAGGAAGTTCTTGCACGATCTGAAAGAAGAAATACACACCATAAAAAAGAATCAAATGGAGCTGGTAGAGATGAAGGCTGCAATACAGGAAATCAAAACCTCCCTTGAAAATATTAAAAGCAGATTAGTACACACAGATGATCA